AAAAAAAAACAAAACCAAAAAACTTCTCCAAAAAAAAAAAAAAAAAAGTAAAAAAAATGCTAAGGACTTTCGGTAGTACAAAATACACTAATCATCCATGGCCTGAACTGTTACAGAGAAACAGAACATTTCTGCAGTAGATACTCCTAATCAACTCATAAGAGGCAAGGTACTCAGTGATTCTATATATGATGCTTAAGAACATTTACAGAAAATTAAGGGATATGACATTTGTTGCTGCTCCTAATGTTCCTGGACAGTGATAAAGAAAAGGATTTACTCAAAGATTCTAATTTCTCACTCAGGCTCTACATAATCAAAGAACTTCTAGGTGCAAGGCACCCTGAAGGAGAATCTTCCCCTTAGGGTTGAAATTGTTGAAAATCAAACACAAGTCCTCATTCACATGATAGGCCAAATTATAAGAATAGTCGAACTTCTAGTCTTAAAGAGTATCTACCGTTAAAATGAAGACATTAATTAGGAAAGGATAGAATCCTGTAAGTTGTGGATGAGGATGCGTGAGAAGACCCTGATGAAGATATGGACATTTTTTCAGGTTGAGAAAAATCTAAATTAGGTATACCATTTTACCCACAAGTCTACAAAATCCACTCCCACTATATAACACAGAGTAGGGGAAAAGTCTTCAGTGTCTTATTATTTAGGGAGTTACCATTTGGTTATGTTAAGATTAATTCAGGACTCTACCATTGCCTTCATGTACTATAAAATGATAAAACTTTATTAGAGATGTACACCCAGGCTAAGCTTTAATCCCTTATCTCTGAGTCCAAGGGCACTCTCCATCCCTTCACCAGGAAGATATTTTCTGATTTCTGCTTGGTGTCCTCAGAATAGTTTCAGGCTCCAGGGAGGTCAGATATAAGGAGCAAGATCAGACTTGGACCCAGGGGATTATAACTCGAGAGGTCTGTTCTTTTTCTTATGGCCCTCTGGACATGCTAAAGATAGCTGTGCTTAAATTTAGATTCTGTGTTCATCCTTCTGGGACAAAGTCTGCTATTATCCCTCTATATTGAGCAAAATGGACAGATCGAGAGTCCAGATGGAATTCCCTAGATCCCTGAGCAGAATGCTTGTAAGTTTAAGGGCTCTAAGGCATTTGAAGAGCCCGGAGCTCTTTTCTAACATGATCCAGCCCAGGTAAGAACATCTTCAAAGGGAATATAGAAAAGGAACAGGGATCATTGGGAGGAGTCCCCAGTTTATATGCATGAACAGACCTGAGGCTCTTGGGAAGTCAACTTTAGAGCATGCTCTTATATGTCTTTAAAACAGAGGGAAGGAATTCTCCTGGAAAGGGATTTAAAGTATGGAATCCATACAGAGTGACATACCAGGAGGATGAAGAGGCCTCTAGTTTACTAATGCCAGCACAAGATCTTCTAGGTGTTTTAAATAGGCATGGTACTTTATTCTCATTCAACTGAGCCAGGCACTGTGCTAACACAGGGCTTATAGTAGAGAACAAGGCAGGCAAAATCCCTACCCTTTAGGAACTTACATTCTGTTTGGGAAATACGCTCCACAGCAGGCAGTTGAGAGAACTCTGCAGTACAGAAGGCACCAAACTAAGGATTTGCATAGGCTTCCCTAAGGTGCTAAGCTTCAGCAAGATAGAAAAGTAAGACATGCCAGGCAAGGAAGATAGGAAGAAGATACTGCTCTAATACCAGGAAAGAATATAGGTGATTCCCAGAGACAAAAACCCATTATCATTGGGAAACGGGAACATTCAGCCTCTGGGAAGGTAGTAGGCTTGGAGAGGAATATTGAAAGCTGTGATTAGTTGTATAAATGTACCAATAGTTAGAGCACTAAGGGTTCTAAGAAAGTGCTTTGGTGACATTTGCTGTAACTGTGCACCATCCCTGCCCAGGAGCTGCAGTAGTTTCCTTTTGTATTTATGGTATGAGGGTGGCTTCTGCCTAGGAAGGTGTAAATTAAAGAGATTCTCACAACCTTAGGGTCTTATGGAAGAGACAGAGGTCAGCAAAGCTAATCCCAGAGCTCAGCCCACCCTCATTTAACAGCTAAAATGCATCTCTTCAGTTATGGGTACCTTTATGAATGTCATGATGTGTTCCCAGAGATAGGAGGAGAAAGATTAAACAAATGAAACATCTATCAGGAAAACAACTCTGTGCTATCAGGCATAGGAAAATAAGGCAAGAGAAGAGATAAAAATAAAATCCAACATTTTCAGGGCTACAGGTCAGTCCAAAAGACTGAGTACATTTGGTTTGACTTTAATAAGGTCTGTTAATACCAAAGGCCTGATGGCTTTCATGAAAAGTCACTTTCTTTCATGTCCATAATTCACTAGACTTATATTTAGCCTTATTAATGATTTGGGCCTGTGAAATCCTCCTATAACATTACTTCTGTCCAAAACTAGAAGATTTATCACTCTCTGGACAGTAGTGAAAGGACTCAAATGGCACTGAAAGCAAAGATAGACTGAAACAGTTATTGTTACCAGAGTTAATAACTTCTTTATTAACTTGGTAAGTTCTGTTTTTTCCATTCAAGGACTCTCTGTATTAAAGCAAAACTATTGTTTGCTGTATTATAGCTTCACTTAGTATTATCTGTTCAAGTTATGAAAGCGATTTGATTAGAAATAAGGGTGAAATAGACACATCTCCCTTTACCCAAAAATCAGGGAAACAATTATGCAGCTCTTGACTACTAAAATTATTGATCTTTTGCCTTTAAAATTAGTTCTGTGACTTGTCAACGTTCAGATTTTGTGTCCTGCAGAAAAAGCAGTCTGCTTGTCAAAAACAATATTAGGTAAAGATTGTATATGCTCGGGGTCTGCTCTGATATATCCATGAAAGAAAAAATAAATAGCACAGTCAAGGGGGAGGTGGAAGGGGCTTTCTTCAGAGACATGGGCAGGAATAAGGAAACTGACAAGACAGGGTGAAGCACCAGGATGAATGGTGAGCAGCGTTATGTATCCCAGGCCTGACCAGGTAAGAGAATATGTAGTTGCCAGGACACAGGAGGGTGACTTTTCAGGAGTTGAGGCTTTTGGCAGAAGATCAAGGCAGTGCCACACATGGCTGGTAGGAAGAGAGCTAGGCAGTAAGTCTCTGATCTCTAGTCTCACCCTCTTATCTCCTGTCATTGTCTTACATTGGCTGAGCCCACCTGGAAAACAGAGGACAAGAGAATCTGGGAGATACAGCCTGTAAACGTTGACGTTTTTGGGGTACAAAGCTAGGATCTAGAGGGGCAAGTGGGGAATAACCAGCACACAGGGTAAGAAAACAAGCTGGCATATATAGTATTTTCGACTGGACTAGTCTGAGAAATATTTTATGTTGGATAAATTCCCTTTACAAGCCAAATGACGTATAGTGATTGAAAGTTTAAAAAAATAATAAGAATAATAAAAATAAAATTAAGAAAAATAAAAATAAAATTAAGAAAAAGAAAGAGATAAAGAAAAACAAGTCAGGATCTCCTCAGCTAAGCCTCTCCCTCCCTGCAACCCAGTCAGGGTCACAGGTCGGTTCCTTCCCAGCCTCGATGACTGAGGCTTTTTATGTTCTATTTTTACAACTACCACCAACACTATGCTCACTTGTAGTAACCTGGGAGAACATTAAGATGAGTCCAGTTTTTGAAGAGAAGTTCTGTGGGGGAAAGTCACTACAAGGGACACTTTGGCTCTCTAGGAATAGGCATTCTAAAGTTCTCTAAAGCTTGATGAACAGTTTTCTAGTTTTGCAAACTGATGTCAGCTGAATAAAAAGAGTTAACGCCTCGTGTTACGTGTTAGGCACTGAATTCCCAATTCTTCTTCACAGCAACTTATCTAGGCCATAGTTACTTCTTTTTAGAAAGCTTATTGTGAAGTGAGGTTAGTTGTGTTTCACTAATAGGATAAAGAAATTTTTCTAAGCTCCTACTGTCAGGATGTGAAACCAAATCTGGAAAGTTTCCATGCTGAGATGAATGATTATGCTGCTATAGTCAACCTAACTAGCTTGGAAACAGAAAAAAAAAAAAAAAGCTTACATACTCCTTATCTTCCTTCATATTCCTCTAATATAAAGGCTACATTTTGGTATGATCTTTTAGACAAAAGAAAAAAAAAATGAGACAACACAACATAAACTGTCTTGGGCCTTCTCTCTAAATAGAGATCTCCCTTTCAGTCAATGGCTGAAAGAGCATGTCATTGGCCAAATACTCATCTTCTAGACTTTGTCCCACTCTGCAGTGAGTATCTTCTTCCTGGTGATAACTCTCTCCTTCTGGAATCATATCTTCATATTCAGTCTCAATGAAGGGAGAAAACCCTTGCCAGGGCCTGCCGTAGGGCATCAGATACACAAAATGAACTCCAGTCAATAGCTTTCAGATCTCAGGAGCCACCTCGTTCCTATCTTCAGGAAATCCCTTCTCCACAGTCCCTCATCTCTGCCTTGTGATTTAGGACTACAGATAAGACTTTATTTCAATGCTCCCAATACCTAATGCTATTCCCACACTTAAGTTTTGATTTACCACAGAGTCTACATAGTCCCAAGAGTCTCCAATTCTTATTTCTCAGCTCCAAAGTTTCTTTTGTGTTTAAAGGAGCTCTTATTCTATAAAATGTTCTAAACGAGTCTGTGAGCATTTGCATAGCTTGAGAAGGTAGATGACCAAATAGGTACTTAGTTGCTTTAGCTCAGTTCATTCACTGATGCAAGAATATCACTCTTGGAGTGTCATACTGCAAAATGATGCTCACATATTCATTTAATTATGTGTTTTGGTTTGGGCTTAAGTTTGTGCAAACTTTGTAGTATAACAGTACAAATTCTATAATTTCTTCTAAAAAGAATGACTTGTAATAGCATCTAATTAATGATCATATTCTTTATTGTAGTGTCTAAAGTATTGTTTTTTTATTTCCAGGGAAAAGAAGTTCTGCATTTGGGGGCAGAAGTGAAAAGCTTCATGTATAAATAGCCATGCTCAATTTTCATAATGTCTGCTCAATACCCAGCTCCTTCCAGCTCACTGGCATCCCAGGGCTGGAGTCCCTGCATATCTGGCTCTCCATACCTTTTGGCTCCATGTACTTGGTGGCTGTGGTGGGGAATGTCACTATCCTGGCTGTGGTAAGGGTAGAGCGCAGCCTGCACCAGCCCATGTACTTCTTCCTGTGCATGTTAGCTGTCATTGATCTGGTTCTGTCCACTTCCACTATGCCCAAACTTCTGGGAATCTTCTGGTTTGGTGCTAGTGACATTGGTCTGGATGCCTGCTTGGGACAAATGTTCCTCATTCACTGCTTTGCCACTGTGGAATCAGGCATCTTCCTTGCCATGGCATTCGATCGCTATGTAGCCATCTGCGACCCACTACATCATACCACAGTGCTCACTCATACTGTGGTGGGTCGTTTGGGGTTGGCTGCCCTCCTCCGGGGGGTTCTCTACATTGGACCCCTACCTCTCATGATCCGCTTGCGGTTACCCCTGTACAAAACTCGTGTCATCTCTCACTCCTACTGTGAGCACATGGCTGTGGTCACCTTGACGTGTGGTGACAGCAGGGTTAACAATGTCTATGGACTGAGTATTGGCTTTCTGGTGCTGATCCTGGACTCAATGGCTATTGCTGCTTCCTATGTGATGATTTTTAGGACTGTGATGGGGCTGGCTACCCCAGAGGCTAGGCTTAAAACCTTGGGGACGTGTGGATCTCACATCTGTGCCATTTTGATCTTCTATGTTCCCATTGCTGTTTCTTCTCTCATTCACCGATTTGGTCACCATGTGCCTCCTCCAATCCACACACTATTGGCCAACTTTTATCTTCTGATTCCTCCAATCCTCAATCCTATTGTCTATGCTGTTCGCACTAAACAGATCCGAGAGAGGCTTCTCCAGATCCTGAAGACAGAAACTAAGATCAGGTGACTGCCACTTCCTTCTTTCTCAAAGGTTATAGAGAATGTGTCTGAGTAGGATAGGCTGCTTCCCAGCTGGGAGCTTCTAAAGCAGTCAGACATTAGATCTCATGGTCTCCAATTCTTACGGTTCCAAAGAGCATGCATCTTTTAAGTTTTACAGGTGGCAGGTTTTTTTTTTTTTTTTTTTTTTCCATAAGGCATGTGTGCTCACCAGAGAGACAGGGAGAAACAGTGAGAGGGAAAGTAAGAAGCCTGCTCTCCCCAGGGGAATGGTCACAAAGCAATCTCTTCTCTTCCATTTTCCTCCTGGGATTTCAGGCATGCACACACATGTGTCCAGCATGAGTTTTAAGTCTCCTGATCATGGACTCTAACTGCAGTCAGTCATGTGGAAGTCCAGTGCCTTAAACCCCAATTTCTAATTTTTTATGATTCAAAGACATTTGAGATGTGAAGAAGATAAGCCAACAATGCCAACAACATCAGTAACAAATAGCTAATTTTTTTTAGCACTTAGGTCATAGAATTCTTACAAATATCCTGACATCTTATAAGATAGGTATTATTCATGATTTAGAAGGAAATAGGACAGAACACTATTGCTTTGTTAACTGTATACAAAGTTACTTTAAACTGCCTAGCCCAATGTTTTGAAGTTTATAATGCATCATGGTGTTATGTCCTAATACTTTCTATTCAGAGTTTGTGTATCTTTTAATAAGTAAATCCTCAAAACTGGGTCATTTCAAAGTCATCTTAGCTATAAGAAAACCATTTCCTGAGTTAAGCCCTTAGCAATTGAGGTGCTGACACTGCCTGTATTAATAAAATACATATAGTGCTTTAGAAAATTGACCTGTATACCCAGCAGATATGGGGATACTAATCCAGACAGGATGATCTGAAAAAAAAAAAAAAGTTATCCCTGAAGGGAAATGAGACAAGATGACTATGTCTCAGCATTGTCCCTGTTGTATTTTCTCTGCAGGACTGAAGCATATGAGGGATCTATAGAAAGGAAAACTTCCCTGAACTCTGATCCAGTTGAAGGGCTCTTGCCCATAGTGTGTCAGGTTCTTAAAATGGATCAGCACAAAATAAAGACAAGAGTTATGATTTATAGGAACATTGACTACCATATTCAGAATAAGTGTTAGTTCAATACCTAGAAAGTTATTAACATACATAAAGCACTTTGCTACTTCTGGTTGAAAGTTACTCATGTAATTCTTGTAAGCACATCAAAAGGTAGGCATTACTATTATCTTTACTTTGCAAATGAAGACATTAGGTTCTCAGAAGTAATAGAATTGCCAAAGGTTTATAAAAGTTAAAACAAATAAATTCAATTTTTGTTTTAAAATTCTAAAACTTCTAGTCTTAGGATCCTCACATTCCTTGACTGTGAAAGAGCTGACAGATTTCTTTCCTGAGGCCTGAGTTATTGTGAATTTAGCATTCCCAACATAGCAGAGAGTGGTTGTACCTGTTATTTTCAAAAGTAGGAGTGTAAAGATCAAAATAGGTTTCTTTATAGTTCTTCCTTTCCAGGGGAAAGTCCCAGACCTGGCAGCTTGCTTTTTCACTTTCTTGCCCTCTCTCTCTCTGTCTGTCATTCTCTGGCCAATACACATGCCCTATAGCAAATTTAAAAATAATAATAAATAAAATGAAATAAATAATTATGAAAAAAAAACAAAAATAAAACCCACCTTTTATTCCTACTTCTACAACATCATAAACCTGGATAAAATCTTTGATTCCTAGTTGTACAACATCATAAACTAGTCAGTCACGGAAATGTTGAGTACACTAGGCTTTAGATACACAAAACTCTATCATTGGGCATAAAGGAAAGTAGTCAAGTAAAAAGGAAAACACTGTATGACCACCAGGAACTGATTTCTGGTTTTCCTTTGGCCATTCCAGGGAATGGAAACTGCCATATTATTGGGATATCTGGGGTGAGTGGTCATTTGAATTTTAATTGCACGCATACATCTTCACTCTAGCTTTTATATCCCATCAATCAATTAGCATATTTCCTCAATCTTTTGCTCAGAACTTGATGATTCAAATATTTTACCTACAAGTGGAAAAGCAATCACAAAGCCAAGTCCCCCATTTTACCCATTCCCCACTGTGATTGGGGACCAGAAGATGTTTGGAGTCAGTGCCAAGTACATGCTTACTGGCTCACAGGGCATTTCTCTGGGACAGGAGTAGAAGGCCAAGATTCATAGCTCTAGAATTATTGCCAAAGCAATTTCAAAATATCATCTACTTGGTGAAAAATCTCAAGAGAGAAATACAGAAACGTTGCTAGTCTCCTTCACAGAGACATTTAGATTTTTGTAGGAATTAGACAAATTGGGACCTAACTAATGATATTCTTCCTTGATATTCAGACTTGTGCAAAGATTAAGCTTCGTTCTCCACAGATTGTGAAGTCTGTATCAGACTGGTTCAAGAATATCATATTTCCTGTTTTTAAATGTCTTAATATAAAAAGAGTAAAATCTGGATGTAGTCAAGAGGCATTAGGTTGCCACCTAGGCATAAAAGGTGAAGGAGCTTCTGAAGCATGCAAGAATCCATGGAGATTGTTGTGATAGCTTTAAACAAACCTCCAACATCTCCTGCAGCAGGGAATGTAACTGATAGATTTTAAATGGAAGCAACTAAGGTTATTACCATATTAATGCTGAAGCCATGCTTCCCCGGACCTCTTTCCAGCCAATTATTCAGTGTAAACGGGTATAAAGTAGGCCATTATTGTGAGGCAGAACAGGCAGGGAACTATGGGTCTAAGATTCCATGTCTTGCTGAAACTTTCAGAAATACACTTAGTCCAAAGACCTTCCTATTGTTACTTTCTCTCAATCCTTTACAGAAGTTTGACTGGCATCATTTTCCATTAGCTCTCTGAGACTCCTCCAGCTCCCTCCCTGTTTTCCCATCACAAATACATGCTTAATACTATCTCATACATCTAATACCACCTTAGTGTATGCTTCTTGGAGAACCTGAGTGGACACATCAAACAGAAATTAAAATGGGGATTTGAGACTGACTCACTAACTTCCTATTCAATGAAGAAGCTGTCTGACTAGTTAGTATTATAGTTAAAGTATAGATAACTCCTCTTACAAGATGGTGATTCAGTTGCTAAAGATTATACTGACGATGAATTAAGAAAATGTTCCAGTAGAGCAAAACATCATAGCAGGTATAATGAGTCAAGCATTTGGGGCCACTTGGTGGGAAGTCAATTGCACTGGGCCTTTTCATGAAAGGGTTGGTGGTTTGTACTCCCAGTTAGTCTGGGTATGTGTTTGTCTGTCTTAGCCAACACTACTCTTTGAAGGCTTTAGAATACCTGATCTATAGGCAAGGGGTCTCATAGGGCATGTTGCTGCAAGAGTAGATATGTTTCATAGCAAAAAATATGCAGGGTAGGGGTGATGACCAAGGGAATCAATGGGTGACTTCACATTATCTTACCAACCCAAAGCAACTGACCTCATAAAAGTTGGAGCAGCCTTTAAAAACACAGTTAAAATGGGCCAGCAGATGGTGTAGTAGTTACGTTGCTGGACTCCCACATGGCTGACTGTGGTTTAAGTCCCAGACCCGGTGGCTGAAGACTCATGCTGGATAGACATGTGTGCGTACTCAAGATCCCAGGAAAAGAATGGAGGAGAAGGGATTGTGGCATGGCCATCTGCCCGCCCCCCCAGGGGGAGTGATTTCTCACTTTTTCTCTCACTGTCTCTGAGGAGTGCATGTGCCCTAAGACAAAAACCTCTAAAAATAGAAAAGGAGAAAATAAAAGAAAAAAAAACACAAAGAAACAACTCAGAGGAAACGTTTTATGAAATCAAAATGCTATCCTTCAGGATACAGTATACATATTTAGTTAAAGTACTCAGTATATTTAACTAAATGTACTGAGTTTATAGTAAGCCAGGAACTAAGAGGGTAGAAAGAAAGCTATCCCACCAATGATCATTCCCAATTAGCTACTGGGAGTCTTGCTTTCTGTTCCTGAAACTCCTAGTTTTACAAGGTTGGAGCTGGTTCTCCAAAGGAGCTCACTCTGGCCAAGGGACACAAGGCTTCTGGCAAGCTACAAGCTAGAGCTGTCAACCAGGCTGTTTTGGACTAGTATGTTCAGGGACCAACAGGGGAGAAGAGTAATTCTCATTAATAGGAGTTAGGGCTACCTTCATGCAATGGAGGCTTGGGAATTTTCTACTAATCTTGCTCCATTGTGACAATGGGTGTTCATGTACAGCATTCCCTAAATGAGAAGGGAATGCTTCCCAAAGGTTTAGCCTTCTCAGGAATGAGGATTTGGGTAACACCACTTGGTAAGCCACTAAGAATTACAATGGTGATAGATGAGAGCCAAGGAAACTCCAAGTAGTGGAAGGAGAGGATCAAGCAATAGTTGCAAGTCTGGAATGAATTTCAGAAACAAGGGCTGCGATTCGTTCTATTAACCCTCCTCTTCTAAGTTTTTTTTTTTTAATTAAGTTATTTATTAAAAACATTTTTTTCATTTCATTTTCTTCCATACATTCAATCACATTATTATTATTATTTTTTTTTTTGAGAGATTTTCACTGTAGGGCGCGTGCGCTCGCCAGACAGACAGAGAGAGACATAGAGACAGAAAGCGAGAAATCACCCCCCAGGGGGTATGGTCACGCCGCAATCCCTTCTCCTCCATTCTCCTCTCGGGATCTTGGGCATGCACGCACACGCGCCCGGCGTGAGTTTTAAGCCACCGGGTCCGGGACACGAACCGCGGTCGACTACGTGGGAATCCAGCGACATAGCCATTACGCTAACTGCTGGTTCCCAATCACATTATTATTTGTCTTACAAAATGGATATATGAAGGAGAGGCATTGTATGTCCCCACTTAATATATACCGAGTGTCTGTACTCTATGACTGAAACTCTTCTAAGTTTTTCATTTAGCAAACGAGGTCCATGAGAACTATGGAAAAGATGCTCCTCAGGTCTATTTGAAGGAGATCTGTGCAGTACAGGAGTGGATTTTACTTGCCATGAGAACATTGCTCTCAAATCTGACTATGGGTAGCATGCTTGAAAAATTCCAGTTTCAATCACTGTGCTCAGAAATAGGGGTCATTGTTTAGGCTCCATTTACTTATGCTGCTTCCAACAAGTACATGATCACAGAAGTATCAAGCAGGCTTAGTCTTGTGAGATACTTGACTCCTTTAGCTTTAGCTTTAGCTTTAGCTTTAGTCTTTAGACTTCATTAGCCTTGCCAAAATGTAGAGAAATGCACCGAAATCTAAGACCTTCCTTCCCTTTCTCCTGCTCAAAGAGACCTACATTGTGACCTCATGGCTGTCTCACACTCCTCAGGATCCTTTCTTCTTCTTCATGGCTGTTATACCTGCCCGTTCTTCCCTCATAAACCTCTTGCCTAATTCCATCTTTGCATCTACTCCTGGAACATAGGTATGCCAAGTCCTACAGAAGACTTTGGCTCTATGCTCACTGAAGTCAGTCCTATGGGAAGAGCTAATGACTTATAAATACAGAGCCCTTTATAATAGCGTTTCTAAGGCTACTCTCTCAAAGTCATTTTAAAAGACATGAAAGCCATGCAACCTTACAACCCTCAATATGCAATTCAACAATACTTTCCCTTTCACTGGAGAAAACAGTCTGAAGGACTTTTGAAGGGAAGGGCTCTTCTAAGCAATTTAGGTTCAGGGTACAGCCTAATGGTAGAGCTGGTCCTTTGAAATTCAGATGAACCCCTCATAGGTAATGTCTTATAGGCAAGAAGACAAAAACTACAAGGAAAGGCCAGGGACTGCTTTGGACTATCAAGTTGACATTAACCCTGCTCTCTCTAGTTTTCTTTTTCCTTAGTTAGCTGGTTAAGTTAGTTTAGTTACTTAGTTTGGCTAGTTAGTTTAATTAGCTAAACTGTTTAGTTTGCTTAGTTTAGTAAGTTTAGCTTGTTATTTTAGTTACTTTGTTAGTTTAGCTAGTTAGTTAAGATAGTTTGCTGATTAGTTTAGTTATTTTAGTTTGGTTAAGAGAGTTTAGTTTGCTAGTTTTTTCAGTTTACTTTGGTTAGTTTCATCAGTTAGCTAGTTAGTCTAATTACTTTAGTTATATAGTTAGCCTAGTTTAGGTAGTTTAGTTAGTTTGGTTTAGTTTATTTATTTTTAACTGTTCAAAAAGTAACAAATTAACTTTATTAAGTTACTACTTTAGTCCTTACATTGATTTGTTTTTAAAAAACATCAGTTTGAAATACATTATTGAAAGTGAGTACACACAATAAATAGAAAACAGGGATGCACAGTGGTAGAGACATTTCAACCAGCTTGTCTTCATTTGTTGCCTACTATTATAGACAAAATTTAATGAACAATTAGCATTATTGAATCAGTACCCAGGACAGCAGTTGGCATGGTGGTTAAGTTGTTGGCTTACCACACAGTCAACCATAGTTCAAATCTTGGACCTGGAGGCTTAGAGGTCACTCTGGGCATGTGTGCATGCTTGCCCAAAATCCCAGGAGGAGAATAGAGAAGGGACTGTAGAATGGCCATCCCTTTGGCGGTTGATTTCTCACTTTCCTTCCTTCGATCTCTGTCTGGATCTGGCAAGTGCACATGTCCTACAGCAAAAAATCTCAAAATAAAGGAAGACAGAGTAGCCAAAGTAACTGAAAGAAGGTTGCAAACTACTGGAAAAGTAGCTTAAAGCTCTGGACCACTACCATTCCAAAAAAAAAAAAAAAAAAGATTCACTTTTTCTGGGAGCTGACCTCACTATAGTACTGAATTACCTAATACTACTCATAAAAAAAAGTATCAAAAGTGTCAGAAAACCTTCATTAGCAGTATTTTTAAATCAAAATTTTACATCAATTATATAATGATTACTCAAATATCCTAAGGCATATGGTAGGCCCTATAACGATAAGTTACAAATAGTCTGAATTTAATAACTTAAATATGATGGATTAATACAATACATATTCTGTGAATATCTCAACTAACCTCTATCAGGTAAGATGGTAAGTAAAAGACTGAAATTTATAGTTTTAATTTCTGCTCAGAGGAATGATGTCACTTTTCTAGCAATAGCAATGACATCCCATTATTGTAAATGCAGAATATAATCATGTACATATTATTGTGAATTACACTTGATTGAAATAATTCTATGTACAAGTGGGTCCATATTCTATGTGCAAATTTCAAAGGTGCAGGTTTATAATCAATGCTGGGTTTAACAAATGCTTTCTGACTTCTGAAAATCATGAAAGCACTTCCTAAATCTGAACCAACTGAAGTTAGAAATAGGTGACACCAGTTCTTTTTTCTCTTTATGTGTGATGAACTTCGTGAAGCATTAATTCCTGAGGTATATTTGTTTCTGGACTATACAGCTTACAAGCTCTTCTTTTAAAGGCAGCAACCATTTGCTTTACAACTTCATCAAAAAATAATGTGGCAAGCTGAGAGTGCAGAAGTGAGCGAAATTCAAACGAAACTGAAAAATCCAAAGTACAAGTTCTTGGGTAGCCAGGAAGACCTGGGCTAGAACACCAAATAGTCTCCAGAAGATTGAAAAATTTCCCATCAGTACAAGATGCCAAATGTGGCTTCACCAAAGTTACTACTGAAGTATATCGCTCCAACACAGGTGGAAACCCAATTTCTAACTGTGTTTTACAGTATCCAGATCTCTTTGATATTACTTCTGATTTTTTGCACCAAGGAACAAAATGCTTGTAATCCTCCATTCCTGATACTACATCATACATTTCCTGCATTGAATAACCTATAATTCTCCTCTCTGAATATTCTTTCCTTTTGTTTATTAATGGTGCAGCAATTTTGAAGAAAGTTCTTGCATAGATCTCCTTAGGCAAAATTGAGGTATGTAGTGGAAGAGCTCTGCTCATCAGTATACCACAGGAAGCTAAATACCTGACGTTCTGCGCCGGAAGTAAGGCTGCGGCCTCTGTCGCCGACCTCTTCCGGCATCTCCAGACCACCCTTCTCAGAGCTCTCTGACCGGTGCGAGCTGCCATGATTGTCTCTCCGAAGCCGGTCACCACCTCCAGGCTTGTTTAGTTACTAAGCTTAGTTTAGTTAGTTAAGCTTCTTTAGCTAGTTCAGTTTGTTTATTTAACAGGTTTAGCTAGTTAGTTTAGTTCAGAAGTTCCTGACTCCCAGGCCACAGACCATTACCTGTTAGGAACCAGGCTATACAGCAGGATATGAGCAGCAGGTGAGTGAGTGAAATTTCATTTGTGTTTACAGACATTCCCCATGACTTGCATTGCGGCCTGAGCTCTGCCTCCTGTCAGGTCGGCACTAGCCTTAGATTCTTATAGGAGCGCAAACCCTATTGAGAACTGTGTGTGCAAGGGATCTAGGTTGTGCACTCCTCATGAGAACCTAAAAAGGTGGTAATGCTAGCTCTGGGGAATGGCAGCAAATACTGATGAACATTAGCAAAGAGGTTTGATAGGTTAACAAGTTAGTTACTTGCAGATTCCTATCAGTGAGTGGCAAGAGACAATTAAGATGCATCTGGTGGCAGGCTTTGTGGTTCAAGTAAGTCGATGTACTTCAACTGTACAGCTGCATCTGGTGGCAGGCTTTAATTTAGAATCTTTTACTTATTTTAGTTTGCCTGTGACCTGCCCTTTATTTAATTTACCACTTCCATCTGCACCTCTTTCACACTTGTCCCAGTCAGTTTTGGTAAGGCCACAGGCTTATCCTAGCCAAAATGTGTACAAAGCAAATGTTGCCGGGACCAGCATAATGGCTATGTTGCTGGACTCTCAGGTTGTCTACCGTGGTTTGCGTCCCAGACCCGGTGGCTTAAAACTCACGCTGGACGCGTGTGTGTGCATGCCCAAGATCCCGAGGGGAGAATGGAGGAGAAGGGATTGTGGCGTGGCCATCCCCCCGGGGGGTGATTTCTCGCTTTCTGTCTCTCTGTCTCTGGTTTTCTGCTGAATGTATGTGCCCTATAGCAAAAAAACCTCTCCAAAAATAAATAAATAAATAAAAAACAAACAAACAAACAAAAAACCCAAATGTTGCCAGGAGAACTTCTTTGAAAAGAGGGGAAGATCCAGTGATGAGAGAGCAGCAGACTTTAAGATATAAAATACAAGAAAACTTAAAAAAAAAAAAAAAAGAAAGATGCATTTAAAAGAAAATACCAAAAGTCTTACTTAAATTACAAATTCATTGCAACAGGTGTTTCACATTCAAGTCTGCTTTGTGCAACAGGGGGCAACTGGCTAGCCCACAAAGCTATGAAACCTTCAAAACTGCTTTGCCATATGGAGATCAAGCATCCTATATTAACAGACAAGACTTTGGAGGTTTTCAAAAGAAAAAAAGTGAACATAAAGAACAAAAGCAATTAGTTAAGGCCACCACGTGGTCAAATGTGTCTGCACTGAGAAACCGTTTCTTAGTGGATAACTGCATTGCTAAAGCTAAGAAGCCCTTTACTATTGGTGAAGAGTTGATCTGAAGGATATTTGTTATGAACTTTTAGGAGAGGCTGCAGTTCAAAAGGTGCATGTGTTTCTTTTTTATCTAGCACCATAACTACATAATTTGATGAAATAGCAGAGGATATTGAGACACGATTGTTAGGATTAATGAATCACTGTCATATGCAATCCAGGTAGATGAACTACCAATGTTGACCTCAAGGAAACAAAGCTTGTTTTTTTGTGATATGTTTTTCAGGAGGACACGATTGAGGATATATTATGCGTACTTTTGTTGCCAACTGACACCACAGCTGCAGAACTATTAAAGTCTTTGAATGATTACGTAGCAGGAAAATAGAATTGGTCATTTTGTGTGCTAGTGTCTCACCTTTCAAGAGTTTGAGCATTACTTCCTAACCACAAAAGAACCCCAACTGGGATGGAATGGATCTGAGACCCACTAGTGAATAAACCATTTGAATCGACTTTGTCCATGCTAGAAGAGGATTAACTGAGATCGCAAATAATGATGACTTTAAAAGTATTTTTAGATAACTTCAAATCTCCATACTTTCTGGATTAAAGTCAAGGCAGAATATCCTGAGATGGCCACGGCCACAAAAGCACTGAAAATCTTGCTTCCATTTCTAACATCTAATCTTTATGAAGCAAGGTTTTCTTCAATGACAACTGAAGTAAGATTATGGATTGAACTGGACATAAGCAACACACTTCTGGTGTCACTGTCTCCTATTTTGTGACCCAGATGAAGCTGTCTAGTTGTAGAAAAGCAATCCTAGGGCTCTGGTGGATTCTGCATAATGGGAGTTGTATAATTATTTTATACATTACAATGTAATAATAACAAAAATAAAGCACACAATAAATATAATGTGCTTAAATCATGCTGAAACCATTCTCCCTCCCTGTGGTGTATGGAAAGACTGTCTTGCCAGTTTCAAAAAGATTGGGGACTGCTGGTTTAATTAAGCTAGTTTAGATAGTTTAGCTAGTTAAATTAGTTAGCTCACATAGATTTGCTTCTTTAGCTAGCTTAGTTAATTTAATTAGTTTACCAAGTATAGCTAGACAGTTAGGCTAGTTTAGCTAGTAAGCTATTAGGTCATGGGGAAAGTCTTGACATATTTTTGCATAGAAAAACATTGAAAAATACACCTCGACTTTTCCAACAACCTAATAATCTAGTTAATTGGTTAATAGTTTAACTAGTTTAGTCAAGCTAGATAACTAAGCTAATTGTTATTTTAGGTAGTTTAGCTAGTCAATGAAGCTAGTTTAACTAGCCATGCTAATTAGTTAAGCCAATTAAGCTGTTTAACTATCTAGTTTAATTAGTTTAGCTTGTTTGTCTACTTACATTCACTTAGCTATGCAGTTTAGCTAGTTAATGAAACTGATTTAGTTAGTTAAGCTAGTTATTTACCTAGTTTAAATTAGTTTAACCAGTTAAGTTAAACTAATTAGATAAGCTGATTTAACTAGCAAGTTGAGCTCATTATCAAGTTTAACTAGTTAATTTAGCTAATTAAATAGTGAAACTAGTTATTTAAGCTTGTTTAGCTAGCTCAGTTAGTTAAGTTGGTTAGCCTATATAGATTAGCTTGTTTAGCTAGTTCAATTAAATTAGTTTACCTAATATAGTTTAAGCTAGTTAATTAAACTACTTAAGCCAATATAGTTGGTTAGTTAAGCTAGTTAACTTAGTATAGCTAGTTAGTTCAGGTCATTTAGCTGGTTTAACTAGTTAAAGTTTAACTTAAGCTAGTTAAGTTAGTTAAGCTAGTTAAACTAAGTTTAATTAAGCTAGTTATCTAGTTCAGTTTACCTGGTTTGGCTAACTTAGCTAGGTTACTTAGTTAAGATAGTTTAGCTAATTAGTTAAGCTAGTTTATTAGTTTAGTTTACCTAGTTAGTTTACCTAACTGATTAGTTTAAGTAGTTTAGTTAAGTTAGTTTTCATACTTTAAAGGAAAATCATCAGCCCCAAACTAAGACTTCAATAGACATTCATATGCTTGTCAGAGAGAAAGAGAGTCAAACTAAGCCGGTTTAACTAGTCAGGCTAATTAGTTTAACTAAGCTAGTTTAACTACCCATGTTAATTAGTTAAAGCACCCCTCAGTGGGGCATGTGATCATACAACTATCTCTTTTCCTTCTTTTCTCCATCCTGTCAGGATTTAGGAAATGAACATACACATTCACCTGCATGTTTTTTTATATCTCTGGGACTGGGATTCAAACCTCTGCTGGCCAAGAGTGAGTCCAACTACCTATTCATGGTTCTTAATTCCTGTCCTATGAAACCAGCCCAAGGTTATTTTTTTCCATTGATCTAACTTCTATATTTGCTATAGAAGTCTTCTGATTATCACTATAATCAATCTTTTGCCATAAAATAAAAGTATAGGCATGTGGTTAGCTAATGTATTATTTTTTGGTGTGTAATAAATTATCTCAAAATTTTGTAGTTTTAAACAACAAAAATGTGTCTCATGGTTTCTCTGTATTATAGTATTATATAAAATATATATCTGGACTTTGCTGGCATACAATTCCTCAAATCCTTAGAATTTCCGATGTGATAAGCATCTTTCCATATGCTAGTGAATTGGTGGTTGCCTGGCATTGATAGGAAGCCTGAAGATTGGGCATGGTCACAGGAAAGACCAAGGCATGATTAAAGGGTCGGGATTTCTTGTCTTACTCCTTAACCTCCAGGGAGGTAAGGGAGGCTGAAAGTTAAGTTGATCACCAGTGGCCAATGATTTAATCAATTTATGCCTATATAAGGAAGCTTCCATAAAAATCCAAGAAGGCCTTATATCAAAACCAGAGCCCGAATACAATCAGAAGAACTCACAGAGTCCAAGAATCTGAGAGGAGATTCAAAATGGAAGGAAAGGTAAGCTGTGGAAGCAGCTAGATCAAAGACTTCATTGGTTACTTGCACTCAATTCCAGGGGTTGCTGATCTGAGCTGAGCTTGCTTTGGTCTCACACGTGGGCACCAAATATGTCAATCTCTAAATAACAGGCAGAGGTTAAGACTAAAAACAAAAGTTTATTCAGTGGTAATATTGCAATTGTGATAGAAAACTTTGGTTGTGTTCTGGGAGTGAAGAGAATCCAAAAGTCTTTTACACAAAATGAAGCAAGATTACTTAAGTTATTTTGGGATAAAATATAATGGTGAACTGATGTTATTGCTGTCATTGTTGCCACCAATATTGTTATTGATTGGACAGTTATTTCTGGACACATATTCTCATAAAGTATTAGTTTTGTTTGTTTGTTTTCCAAGGTTGCATGGTCTTTGTGCAAGGTTGTGATTTTGGTAGAGTTCAGTGGCAGTTTTTGTTAATAGGCATATGTACCCCTTTCATGGCCTTCCCTAGTTCCTGTTAGTGAGAGTGTAACACAAGTTAACACAAAATAACTTCATTTGATTTGAGAACATTCATAGCAGTCAATACAGGCGCAGCTTAGTTCTAGAGGAATATAGCATAGTGGAGTAGCCATAGTTGATGACAACTCAATGTATATT